CTGCTGTCCCCGCTCCGGGCCATGGTCACTCCGGGCCGTGGTCACTGCTGTCCCCGCTCCGGGCTGTGGTCACTGATGCCCTCGCTCCAGGCCGTGGTCACTGATGCCCTCGCTGCGGCCATTGGCATCCCCGCTGACTGCCAGTGCTGCTTCGGAGGCCGGGGCTGGGTGTCCAAGGCCAAGAGAAGGGAGGAGAGAGGGAGGAAAATAAAACAAAAAGACGATGAAGAACAGGCAAAGCAGAAGAGCATCAGCTGGAGTGTCCGTCTCTGCCGTCATCTCACTGGTACGGCACGGTAATGTCTCTATCTCTGAACTGGGAGGCCCATGTTCAAGTCCCACTTGCTCCTGAATTGTGTAATAACATCTCATAACAAGTTGATTAGAAAGTATCTATAATGACATGATATAAGTGTCAATGGCTTCTTTGAGTGGTATACTGTTGAAAAAGCTAGCAAAAATGCTATTGCCTTCAATATGAATGGTCTTTGCAATAGTGGAGTCCTTCACAGTGTGTATGAGAAACTCATTTGAAAGAGATTGCACCAGCTCCTGATCTGTGCAAAACAAAAACCTTTGACTTTGTCTTTTTACCCAGATTTAGATTCTGCTGGATATTTCATGTAAAAGAACAAATGAACGTTTTGTTTTCGTACTTAAAATCTACAGATTTTCAATAATTAAAAACAATGAACCTCCAGTTTGGAGAGGAAAAGCATAAATGCATTAATAAATAAGACTATAATTCTGTTTTTGGCAGAGAATAACTCTGAGGTAGTGATATAACATCTGCCTCACCTTTTTTTTTGTTAATTCTAATTTCAGTGCCTCTAATTGATGAGTCCCATGTGCACAAAGTACTGCCTGACTGTGTCTACAGACCCAGCTATATAATTAAAGGATTCCCACTGCTTCGTTACCAGGGATTACAGTTTGTAAGCATCTTTTCCTGTTTCTTTAGGCACAATTAATGAAGATGTACGAGGTGGCCAATGCTCACCATTTGGTAATGTTTCTTTCTGACATGGGTGATCAGTTTCAGGTCAAATTAACCCTGAACTTGTTTGTTATTGTTAACTAACCCGTGTATATTGCACATCAGGCTCAGCCAGTTTGCTAATCATGCTGTTACCAAATTATATTCTGATGGATGAGACAGGAATTGCTAAAGTGAAAACAATGCATCCAATTCAGGCTAGAACAAGGGTTTCAAATTCGGTTGTTTCGGACCGGACTTCAATTCAGACCAGCTTGTCAATTGAAAACACATCTCACCAACCAACTACAATTTCATTGAGAATTTTAAGAGATTCAGAATTAAATTCTGCATTGAAACATGTAAATGGACATCGTTCATCTCGCAGGATACACACGCTCATTACTTATGTTTGCTTGCAAGAAAAGAAGGCTGTATATTGAGGAGGACTTAAAACCATCGAACATTAAGCTGCAGTCAGTTGTAAGAACAAGAGAACACTTCTGGGTTTTTATTCCTTTTCACACTCTATCACATTACTCACACGGGTGGCCCATATGGAAGACTGAGGCAATGTGGACAATGTTTAGTTTGCTGTACTAGGAATGCTTTTAAGAGCATGAGAAACAGAACAGGAGCAGGCCATCAGCTCTTTGCCCTTACTCTGCTATTCAGTGAGAACATAAAAGATCTTCTACTTCAACACCATTTTTCTGCACTGTCCCTGAAACACTGTAAGTTTCCAATCTGTAGAAATCAATCACTCAATCTTGAATACCCTCAATGACTGAGTCCCCATATCCCTTAGGGACAGAGAACTCAAAAGATTCACCACCATCTGAGAAGAAATGATCCTTATTCCTTTTATAAGACTGTGCCTCTTCGATCTAGATAAACCCAGCCAGGGAAAACATGCCTCCCGCATCTCCCCTGTCCTTCCTGCAACTACCTGCCGAGCCATGTAAGATGTTTGTATGTTTGAGATCACGTCTCATTCTTTTAATTCTTAAGAGAATAAAGATCCAGTCTGTTTTAAAGTTTCTTCATAGTACATCCCAGAAATTAATATGGCGAACCTGAGTTGTATAATGGCATCTGTGGCGAGTCTATCTTTCAGTAGGTAAACATTGCGCTTGGTACTCCAGGCATAGTCTCGCTGAGGGTCTGTTATTGTTGTTCCAGGACATTTCCTCACATGAATGAGCAGTAACATCGTTCTCCAGGGTGCCAACTAAATCTTTTTGCCAATTGGTTTATTTCAAACTGGGATTTTGTCAGACTGTTCATCCCTCCTTTCTCTAATTAAGCCAAGTACCTTTGGTCAAAAATCCTCAGGATATTTTTTTTAAATCACATTTCCTAAGTAGTCAGCAGCTGTAACTCAACATTACCAAAGCTCAAAGGAGCATTTTTAGTAAAAGAAACCTGTTGAGGCCTCTTTATCATCTTGTCAGTGTGGTTCGGAGCAAATGAGTCATCCTCTCCTCATTCAGAAATGAAGTGATTCTCAGGGTGCTAAGCACAAGGTGAATGGATCTATCAGCTCTTCTGAGCTCACTTAGAGACCAGATCCTCTTGGCAGATCGCGTGTATTGGTGAACTAGGTGAACAACTTTAATAGAGGATGCAAATACCAATTGCAATAATTAGGTCTTCTTTATCACAAATCCTGGGCGGTATTCTCTCAAGTAAGTGCTTCTGTCTTGAATCTGTTTTTGCATTTTCCAGTGAACTGGAATATATTGTCAAAACATTGTTGTTTTTGCTGATCTAACCATTTCTTGCAGAATGTTGATTTTCCCACTCATAAAACAAGTGACTGTTCAATTATTGTGGAGGCAATTACAACCAGGAGTTATAATGCCTTCAATAAGACAATCAAATCAATAACTGTACTGACAAAGATTGTCTTTGATGTCACTCATTCATCTAAACTAAGAGTTATAAGTGTCCAGCTGATTGATTTGGTAATTTTTTCTGGTTTATGCTAGGATAAATTGTTGATAAAGATGACTGGAAGGATTTTTTAAAAAATGTAAAACCTCAAGAAAGCTTGGAGAAATACTGATGTCTATGAAATTGCTGTTCAAATTCAAAACTAACAATTATAGAGATGGTCAGCAAAAATAATAGTCATAGAGTCAAACAGCATGGAAACAGACCCTTTGGTCCAACCAGTCCGTGCCAAACATAATCCAAAACTAAACTAATCCCACCGTTTAACTCAAAATGTTAACTCAGTTTCTACTCACCAAGTCTAGCAACATCTGTGGAGCACTTCCAGCATTTTGATTCAATTTCAAGTTTACAGAATTCAGATTTAGAAGATCACATTTGACTGTTGTTCACCAGTATGTTGTCTTAAATTTTCAATTTTGCTAATTACCCTTGTCAAATTTGTGAAACTTCTGTTCTTATCTCAACTAGCTGTCTCCAGATTTTATTCATGCTCCTTCTGTAAAATAAAACATTCCCGTGTTGTGCTGACATCCACAAATTATTTCTAAAACAACAGAAATGATGCAAAGATATTTACAGATCTATAAGGCCATTTGGTTCATCTTAATTCATCTATCCAAACAACCCTCCGTTACAGCAACTAATTTTGGGTTCGTTGAAATCTCTTTCAGTGAGAGCCTAAAGAAATAGAAGAAAAAACTAGTCTTCAGAGAAGTCTTCACATAGAAATATTTAAAAGGTGAATATAGGAGCAGAAGTAGGCCATTCAGCCCTCCGAGCTTGTTCTACCATCCAAAATCATCATGGCTGATTGTCCAACTCAGTACCCTGTTCCTCCTTTCTCCCCATGGTCTTTGATCCCTTTAGTCGTAAGAAATGCATCTACATCTCTCATGAAAGTTTTCCATGTTCTGGTCTCAGCAGTTTCCTGTGGCAGAGAATTCCACAGCCTCACCACTCTGCGTGGATAAATTTTATCTCCCCTCAATCCTTAATGGCCTATCTCTTATCCTTAGACCGTGGCCTCTGGCTCTGGACTCCCCATCCTCAAGAACATACTTCTTGCATCCACCCTGTCTAATCCTCTTAAAAGTTTGTAGCTTTCTATGAGATGCCATCCCCCCTCTCCCACATCCATCACCACCACCACTCCAGCAAATATTGTCCTAACTGAACCAGTCACTCCCCATACATCAGGCCCACCGTCGCAGGATTCAGTCTGGAAAACCTTCCATAGCCAGAATATCTTTCCTCAGATAAGAAGATCAACACTATACCCAGTACTCCAGGTGTGGTCTTACCAATGCCCTGTACAATTGCAGTAATTGCTCCTGTACTCAAATCCTGTTGCTAGGAAATCCAACGTACATTTGCCTTCTTCACTGTCTGCTTATCTTAGGTAACTGGTGTACAAGGACACAAGGTCTCTTTGCACCACCCCCTTCCCTAATCTATTGCTTTTCAGATAATAATCTGCCTTCTTGTTTTTGCTACCAAAGTGGATAACCTCACATTTATCCATATTATACTGCATCTGCCATGTATTTGCCCACTCAGCTTGTCCAAGTCACACTGAAGCATCTCTGCATCCTCCTCACAGCTCACCCTCCTACCCAGCTTTGCATCATCTGTAAACTTGGAGATATGGCATAGTTTCCTCATTCAAATCATTAATATATATTGTGAATAGCTGGGATCCAAGCACTGATACATGCTGTACCCCACTCAAAAAATGACTCGTTTATTCCTACTCTTTGTTTCCTGTCTGCCAACCCATTCTCAGTCCATTTCAGTACACTACCTCCAATTTCATGTACTCTAATTTTCCCAGTGTCTTATGTGGGGCCTTATCAAAAGCCTTCTTAAAATCCAAGCAAACCATTTACTGACTCCCCTGTATCCTCTCCACCAGTTAGATCCTCAAAAAATGCCAACAAATTTGTCAAGAGCAACTTCCCCTTTGTAAATTCATGCTGGCTCTGTCCTATCTTGTCACTATCTTCCAAGTGCTTTGCTACTACATCTTTTATGACAGACTCTAGCACTTTTCCCACTAGTATTGTCAAGCTAACCATGTACAATTCCCTGTTTTCTCTCTGCCTCCCATCTTAAACAGTGGGGTTACATTAGCAATCCTCCAAACTATAGGAACTGTTCCAGAATCTATGCAATTTTAGGAAATGACCACTAATACATCTGCTAAATCTAGGACCACTTCCTTAATTACTCTGATATGGAGGTTATTAGGCACTTGGGATTTATCTGCCTTTAATCCTGTTAATTTCCCCAAAGCCATTTCCATACCAATGCTAATTTCTTTAAATTCCTCCTTCCTATTTGATCCTGAGATCACCCATATTTTTGGGATGTTATTTGTGAAAGTGGAACTATGTGTTGATAAAAGACCTTGGAATGCAGATTCATAGTTCCTTGAAAGTAGAGTCACAGGTAGATAAGATAGTGAAGAAGGTGTTTGGTAAGCCTGCCTTTATTGGTCAGCATTGAGTATAGTAGTTGGGAGGTCATGTTGCAGCTGTACAGGATATTGGTTAGGTCACTATTGGAAAACTGTGTGCAGTTCTGGTCTCCCTGCAATTGTTAAGATGTTGTGAAACTTGAAAGGGTTCAGAAAGGATTTACACGGATGTTGCCAGGGTTGGAGGTTTTAAGCTGTAGGGAGAGGCTGAATAGACTTGGAGCTATGTTCCCTGTAGTGTCGGAGGCTGAGGGGTGACCTTATAAAGGTTTATAACATCATGAGGGGCATGGATAGGGTAAATAGACAAGCTCCTTTTACCCAAATGCTGGAGTCCAAAACTAGAGGGCATAGGTTTAAGGTGTAAGGGGAAAGATTTAAAATGGACCTAAGAAGCAACTTGTTCATGCAGAGGGTGGTGCGTGTATGGAATGAGCTGCCTGAGGAAATGGTGGAGGCTGGCATAATTACAACATTTAAAAGTATTCTGGATGGGTATATGAATAGGAAGGGTTTAGAGGGATATGGGCCAAATGCTGGCAAATGGGACTAGATTAATTTAAGGTATTTGGTTGATATGGACAAGTTGGATCGAAAGGTCTGTTTCCATGCTGTACATCTCTATGACACTATGACTTTAATTTGTCTGCCATCTCTTTGTTCCCCATTATAAATCCCCTGTTTCTGATTGCAAGGGACCTATATTCATTTTCTCATTTTCACTAATCTTTTTCTCTTCACATGCCTATAGAAGCTTTTACTATTGGTTTGTATGTTCCCTGCACGCTTACTCTGTTTTCCCCTCTTAATCAGTCTCTTTGTCTCCCTGTGCTGAACTGTTTCTACTTCTTGCTTGGCCAATTTGTATGCCTCTTCCCTGGATTTAATACTATCCATAATTTCCCTTATTAGCTGTAGTCTGATAATGGTTCCTATTTTATTTTCACACTAGACTAGAATTAATAACTTTCCAGTTTGCCCATGCATGCTTTAAATGTTTGCCATTGCCTACCATCCCTTTAAATAACAGTCCCCGATTTATCATAGCTAGCTAGTGCCTCATAGCATCATCATTTCCTTTACTTTAACTCAGGTCCATAGTCTTAGAAACAACTTTGTCACTCCCCGTCCACATGAAGAATTCGATCCTAATATGGTCACTCTTCCCCAAGGGGCCTTGCACAACTAGATTGTCAATTATCCCTTCCTTGTTAAGACTCTGTTAAGGATGGCCTTTTCTCTAGTTGGTTCCTCAACTTATTGTTCCATAAAACTATCCCATGTAGATGCTGAGAATTCCTCCTTTATAATATTGCTACTCTTGATTTGCTGAATCCATATACAGATTAAAGTTACACATATTTGCAAGCATTACCTTTATTACATGGATCTCTAATTTCCTTTTTATTGCCTTCCCCAATATTACTATGATATCTTAGGGTCCATATATATATGCTATTGTTTTCTGCTCCTTGGTGTTTCTAAGCTCAACCCGTACAGATTCTACTTGTCCAGAGCTAATATCCTTCGACAAATTTTGCATTAATTTCTTTTTTAATCAGCAGTGCTTCCCTATCTCCTGTTCATTTTTAACTGTCCTTTCTAAAAACCAAAAACCCTTGGATATCCAGAGTTCCTATTTCTGGTCGCCCTGCAGCCCAGTCTCTGTCATCCCCACTCTACCATGCCCATTTAGATCTGTTTGTGCACCTAATTCATCCATGTTATTGGAGTAAGCTGTAAGCTGTTGTATTCAGCACCCGCACTACAAATCCTGTTCATTAGTCACTGATTGCATATTCCACTGTCTGAGATGGAACCATGCTGTACCTTTCAGTACAGAAATTTCAATTCTAACACTATGTAGTTTCATTCTCGAACTGTTTCATTCTAATTGCCACCTCACCTTAATTTCCTCACTTTTTACTGTCTAGCTTTCCTATGGTCTGTGATACATTTTTGGCTGTTTCCTGCAGGCACTGGACTCTTTCTGTGACACGTGGGGTTTGCAGCTTTTCGCTTTGAGGCATCTTCATGTTTTGGTGCAAGTTGATAGAACACATCAGTAAAACTATCCCAGCAGCTGTTGCTAAGCTGTTTGACAATGTAAGGCATAACGTCCTAAGGTGATTCTCTTGCTACCAAGCACAAACACTTTCCAACAGGTATCTGTGGGTAGTGAACAGGACAGGAACTGTACAGTTTGTTTATTCCACAGTGAGGACATTGAGGTATCAATTTTCATTTTCTTCTTAACATAATGCAGTGGGTTATAGCTGTCTCATGTGTTTATTGGCACCAGGATGGATAAGGTGATATGGTGATAATATCACAAGGACAGGTAATCCAGAAGCCATGATATGGGTTCAAATCCTACCACGATTGTGGTTGGAATTTAAAATCAAACAATAAATTTCGAATATATATGACTAGTCAATAATGGTGATTGTTAAACCATTGTCAATTGTTGTAAAAAGTCTAACTGGTTCAGGAAGGAAATCTGCTGTCCTTAGTTGGCCTGGCCTACATGGGACAAAAATATTAAACCTTCTTTGTTCTGGCCATCTCAAAACAAATTCACAAACCATCCGAGTGCCCTCTTGGGCATATGTTTGTACCAGTTCAGACTCAAACACACCCTTATGAAGCAGGAACTGTCCTGTTTGCTACAGCATACACACAGAGTATTTTGCCTGTTCCTGGTGGCCTAAATAGCAGCACTCCCTTTGGAGGTTCATCCAAAATGCCCAGGTTCACATAATGCTATGGATGCAGTAATGTGGTTGATTCTTAACTGCTCATTGATATGGTCTAGTAATCCACTCAAATCAAGACCTATTAAGAATGGGCAACAAATGCTGGCCTTGTCAGTGATACCCATCCCCAAGAAAGAATAAAAATAAACATTGCCTAAGTGGTCTGCCTGGTATTTTGTTACTTCTTTGGTTTTCTTGAAGTCCAGATAAGTGTGAGGTAATGTACTTGGGCAGGACAAACAAGACAAGGGAATGTATGATGGACAGTAGGACCTGGGGAAGCACTGAGGATCAGAGGCATCTTGGCATGTCCACCAGTTGCTTAGGATAACGGGTCAGGTAGGTAAAGTGGTCAAGGGAGTATATGGAATTTTTGCCTTTATTAGCATAGGCATAGTGTTTAAGAGCAAGGAGGTTATGCTGGAACTGTATAAAACATTGTTTAGGCCACAGTCAGAGTATTGTGTGCTGTTCTGGAATTGACATTATAGGAGGGATGTTAGTATAGTGGAGAAGGTGCACAAGAGATTTACCAGGATGTTGCCTGGGCTGGAGAATTTTAGTTATTAAGAGAAATTGGATAGACTGTGGCTTGATTTCCTTGGAACAGAGGAGATTGAGGGGCAATATGATTGAGATGTATAAAATTATGAAACACTCAGACAATGTAGACAGGAAGGGACTTCTTCCCTTGATAGAAAGATCAATGATCAGAGACACAGATTTAAGGTAAGGGACGGAAAATTTAGATGTAATGTGAAGAAAAAACTGTTTCACTCAAAGGATAGTGGGAATCTGGAACTCACTGTCTGTAAGAGTGGTCAAGGCAGAAACCCTCAATATGTAAGAAATATTTAGATGTGCACTTGTTATTCTAAAGCATATAGGCTACAGACTTAGTGCTGAAAAATGGGATTAGAACAGCTAGGTACTTGATTTTGACTGGCACAGACCAAAGAGCTGAATAGCCTTTTTCTGTGCTGTAGACCCTAGAACTCTATGACTCCCTCTCAGTCAATATCTCGATGCTACCTTCTCACCAAATCTTTCTTCTTCTTCTTCTGTTTTTACCCTCAGTTTCTCCTCCATTTGTTTCCAAGTTGAGATACCAGGAGTCCATTTCCAATTTCCCTACTTGGCCATCTCTCTCTCTCGCTATCAAACTGTACTTATCAACCCTTTAAATCTATGCATTTTGACTCTTCATAATCCATTCATTTGTCTTTCTATCCTTTCATCTGATTCAGAGCATCCTTCACCATGCCCACATTTCAAAAGTTGTTATGCTGCTGTTTCTTCAGAATCTAACTTTCACATCCACAGTGTGTGACATTCCACACTAGTAACTGTATTAAATGTTTCATCAGTGTTGTGCTGACATTTCTGGATTTGAAGGCACTGCTTGCCCGTGACTCCCCTCTTCCACCAGTCGTTGGGGTTGCCTGCCTGTCCCTGACTCAGGGCAAAGAAAGTGCCTTATTTTCAGGAGCACCTGCCATAGAGGTACCCTGTCCATCTTGCAGCTTTGGCAGTAGGCATCTCCATCGGAGGCACGGATGACCTTCTAGCCCTCTGATTGGCAGCTTGGGGAGGTGAACTGCCATCCTCAATTGGACACTCAGCCTGACAATGATGTTTTAATTGGCTGCCACCAGCAAAATGCTGCCCTGAAGTTCTGCTGCACACTGGCACATTGATGGCTTCCACTTACAGTGTCAGCGACAAGACTTCTTCCCTAATGGAACAGTTCAGCCTCAGCTGATAGTAAATTCGAAAACACCCTTAATATCCCTTTAATTTCTTGAATGAACTGAAATAAATGTGAATGTATGCAAAAATACTACCAATATGAATCAATTCAAGTACTTACTGTATGAACGATAAAACATTCTGAATAGAATAGTATATTTGTGCAGTTCACTGTTTAAACCAATAGTGTTTGCTAATAAACCTAACAGAACATTTAAGAGCAACTTCACTGCCTAGAAAACAAAACCAAAAATGCTCAGCAAACCCATAACATCTTAACATTTTTAAATTCTAGGTTCATCTGACTTATGTATATCCTAATGATTACACAAGGCTAACACACATGGAGTCAGAAAACAAATGCCTCTATTATGAGAATACCTATAACTTGGACAGGTAAGGTCAAGCAATACCTCAATAAATGAGAATTAAATGTAATGAAAATGTACGTGGCAATTGATGTGCTCAAAATTAATGTAGAGATTTGGGTTTTCATTGTGGCAGTGTAGTATTGCAAGGAAGAATGAAGTGTATGACTTCTCTATTGTCCCTTCCTCATCTTCCCAGAAACTGCCATCAGCCTTTAGGATTATGCTTTGGGTTCCTACCTTCTGGGGTTTGGAGATATTTCACAGACCTACTTGCCAGTTTCCTGGAGGTGTCCGGAGTTGAGTTTCTACTTTTGGCATTTGATTGGATTGAAAGGTGTATATAACAAACAAAACTGTAAATGATCTGAGAAGGGAACAAGACATCAAGTTGGCATTTAATATTAAGCATAGCGATAAATTCAGAGAACGATCCACATAAAAATGAAATAATTGGAACCATGAATTAAAATTTTGTAAATGGGTATGAACTATGGTTTTATTTAGCAATCCAACTGTAAAGAGAAAACTATCCCTTTTATAATAATTTCCTTAGAATCATTAAGAGTATATTAAATCTGATTGATTTCACTTAACTATTTCATATCTTAATATTTTAATTGCTGATATGTCTGCCTGACAGATTTGGATTTGATAGATACATGAAAATGGATACACCACAAAAGCCAAACAATGAAAAGTTTCAAAATCCGTTCAGACTAGCAGGCGAAGGTAACAAATCTCTTTTGTTCTGTGACTCAGTGTGCGCTGTAAATAAAATCAACAGTGTTACTGGAAGTTTACTCAACTGTTCTAATATTTCTCATATCATTTGCTAGTACTTGTGAACTTGCAAACAGCAAAATGAAAACACCCACAGATGTAATTTACAGCAAGTGAAATGTCCTTCAAAAAATGTGCTGACTGGATAGATTTGCAAAGTATTAAATACTACAGGTGTTGCTCCTGAAATTGCTTTACAGTTTCTTGAGGTCCAAGGAGCCCAGTTTGAAACCCAATGTAGGTAGTAATAAAAGTTGTTAAAATAAGATTTGCATTTGTATCATGCCTTTGACTACCACTAGACATCTCTAAGCACTTTGCAGTCAGTTAAGTACTTTTTGAAAACTAGTCTTTGTTGTAATGTTGGAAACCTTACAGAAAGTTGTACACAGCAACTCCTACAAACAGCAATCTGATAATGACAGCTCATCTGTTTCACTGGTGTAGATTGAGGAATGAATATTGGTTATAATATAATGGATAACTCATCGGCTTTTCTTCAAAGTAGTGCCTTGGGATTTTTTATACCCTCCCGAGAGGGGCACAGGTTTCATATGTTATTTGAAAGGCAGCATTTTTGAAGTGCAGTACTCCCACAGTAATGCAATAGAATGTCAGCCTTGATATAATTGCTTAACTCCAGGAGCGGACTTGTATCCACAACTTCCCAGAGGAAAGCTATTTACAACTGATACACTTTTACTATGATAACAGCAATTTGCATTTATGTAGCGGAATTCAAAATGCAAACAGTTAGTCATGATCTTATTGAATGACAGAGCAGGTTTGAGAACCTGAATTGACTACTACTATTCCTATTTCATATGTTTGTATGTTTTGTTCATAAAGATTGAACTTTCAGACCTTAGACCTTGGCAGCTAAATGAACATCTGTCAATGGGGACGTGGAGGGATGGCCACTAAACAGGTACTGTGTATCAGAACAGATGTGGACTAAAGCAGAGCTTTTAGATGGTTGCAGAGCTGGACAATGTTACAAGTTAGGGAAGGGGAAGGCTTTGTGGATTTGAACATTGCAGGTATCAATGACCATGAGCCAGTTCAGGCCAGTGAGTAATTGGGTGACGTGAGCAGGATTTGGTGCGGGGTAGGATACTGAAGTAGAGTTGTTGCTCAGTTGAAATTTATGGAAAGCCATCCAGGAGAACACTGGAATAATCAAACCTGTAGATAATAAGAGCTTGATAATAAAAGCAAAGTTTAGAAAAGTTCTGGGGGATAGCCAGGATAGAAGAATATTTAGGTTTTCTGGAAAGCAGGACATTGAAGACGGAGCTGAGAGTGTGATTGAGCAGACTGACAGTGACAGAGGTGTTATAGTGAATCTAGCAACAAAGGCTAGATATTTGGAAGTTTGAAAGTGTAACACTGAGTAACTTGAGGGAAAAATATTTTTTTTCCAGCAGGCAAAGAAGGTGGGGTCACAAGAGCAAGAGAGGATAAAAGTTCATCATTTCCTTGGTTTTGTACTCTATGCCCTTACTTCTAAAGCTCAGGATCCTGTCTGCTTTGTTTAATCTCTTTTTCAACCTGATCTGCTACCATCAATGACCTGCCTACTTGCCCCCAGGTTTCACTGTTCTTCTACCCTTTTAAATTTTACCTTTTATTTTGTTACCATCTCTCTCTTCACTACACTCCACATTTTATGTTATCCACAGATTTTGAAATTGTGCCCTTTACATCCAAGTTCAAGTCCTTAATATACATCAGAAAAAGCCTAGTTACAGCTGGGGAACCACCAGCCTGTACCTTCCTTCAGTCTGTAAAACAATTGGTAACTTTTTCTGAAGAAGGGTCTAGGCCCGAAACGTCAGCCTTCCTGCTCCTCTGATGCTGCTTGGCCTGCTGTGTTCATCCAGCTCTACACCTTGTTATCTCTGGTAACCACTATTCTCTGTTTTCAGAATTTAAGTTGATTTACTACCTGCTGTTCCTTTTTTGTCCGTTGCCATCAACCTTGCTGACAAGCCTGTAATGTGACACTTTGTTTAGTATCTTTTAGAAGTCATATATGCCACACATTACCTTCATCATTGCCTTCATCAACCCTTTCTGTTATCTCATCAAAAAAGATTGCTTTACAGGATTCTTACACAGCTTTCACCATGGTCGCCTATATTTTGATTGGAATGTTAACGGATATAATTGATAATACTGAATTTTCATTTTAACAAGACCGAGATCAGTTATTATTCTTTTACTATCTTTTCTTTTGTTGCCAACGATCTGAAGTTTGTCATTGAAGTAAAATTCACTTTAAAACATAGTCTTGTTTAACAGCATCAGACAATAAAACTAATTGTCTTTGGTGCAATTAAGAAATGAGCTAATAAGTCAATTTGTAGTTGTGTTCAAAAGGAAAAGAAAAAATTCATTGCAGCATAAAAAGAGATGCAATGAAATATGATGTTGCTGATTTTTGCAGGAAAGCCAAATAAACAGATCAATGATAATGAGGAAGATCTGGGGGAAACTGCTGATTTAGACAAGGAAGAATATGATGACAATGATGATCAATTTCCACAACTAGTGGTTCCAAAGGCTGAATTCCAAAAACAAAACCAAATGAACATTGAGGAATTTGGAAATAAAAGAAATCATGGATCTAACATTCAGGAGAACAAACACTTTGCTAAACTACATGATGGACAGCAAGCAGTAACTGTCAAAGATTATGGAGATGATTATGATGACTATGCTTTTAAAAGGAGACGCAAGTTGTTCTACGTTATAGACCAGAAACCTAGTGATAATGCATTTGGTCTTATTAAGACTATAGACACGAGACAAATTGAGATAACTCCTGCTGATAAAGGAATGAAGGACAGGAACAACGAAACTACTTCTTTTGAAGAAACTATGCAGAGCACCCAATCTCCGAGTCAAAAAATAGCTAATATCTCCCACAGTTCTTCAAAAAAAAAGTACTCAATATCAGATCATGATTTAGAAAGACAATCAGCGACATTACTTGTGGGACAGAAGGCTAGAGTTAACAATACTACTCAGAATGTTTTAAAGAGAGAAAATCTAGATATTGACAAAAACATTAGCAGAGTTCAATTTCCTGAAAAACAAGTTCCTAGATTAAGAAAGAGACAAGGAGAAATGATTGTTCAAAAACCAAAGAGGACAATTTATGCCCAGCAGCCACTTGCCTTGTTAGGCCAAAATGTGAACAAGAAAGATGGTACTTTCCTGAACAAAAAGGGAATTAAAAAAAGTACAAACTTGTTAACAAGTCATAGAGAATTAACATCACCACCCACCTTGCAAGAAGGAGTTGTTCATGATCAAAAACAAATCAAAGTCTCTAACAAATCTATTCATGGTCAAAGGAATAAAACGTACAATGGTACTAAGAACACAGGACCAAAATTTCTGTCCAAGAAGGAGGTGCAGCCAAATAAAGTAGAAGACCAGATGGACAGAATTCCATCACTTGCAAATGTGCAAAGGCAAGATAAAGAACACGACTACCCTGAACAGAAAAATATTGCAGTACTTTGGGGGTCAAGAGGCAAAATCAAAGAAAAGTTGCAAGGGTTTGGAAAGACGGAGGAAAAATGGAGACATATTTCTTCAACGGATACAGTAACTAACAGTAAACAGATAAATGAAGAAGAGGATGAAGATGAAATGGAAGAGGATCTGAATGTTCACCAACATGCATATGACAAAGCAGTTAGTTGGGAACAGACTTTCACAGTAAACAATATGGACTTCAATGCCTTACGGTCAGACTGGATTGATCTGCGGTGTAATGTTTCTGGAAACCTGCTGATGAAAGAACAAGAGGCCCTGGATGTAGCAGAAATGTATTTAAGAAAACTGAATGAGAAGCATAAAGGGTAAGTGATAACCTGGATCCTTATTTTGTATCTGAATATGAGGGTAATAGTTATTATACACAACAGGTCAAGAAAAGATCACTCAGGATATGTTCCAGAAATCCTTCTGCAAATTTCTTTCATGCTACCCACTTTCAGCGTAAGCTTTCATAAGTACAGCAATGCAATCTTTTCCAGAAAATGATTGGAACAGAAATAACCTATTATTCTGTACAATTCAATACAATAATTGCTATTTTTTAAAATTAAGAAAGTATCATCTGCAAAGGCTATCCAATACTGAAGGGTAGGGGAGTGGGTGTGGGGGTCGTAGGAGCCTATCAGCATACTTGCATTATTTTTGTAAGGTTGGATTAAATAAGAAATGTACAGCCAATCCCATTTCAGTCTTCCAAAACACTTACACTTATTCAAAGTGAGATTAATCTGCCTGAAGAATTGGTAGTTTACTGGAAGGGGTAATTTCATGCAGCCTGTATCTGAGCGTATGCACCACACTGCAGCACCATTCCAGGAATATTTGAAGTTGTTCGACTGATTTTGTTCCTTCTGTTACCGAAGTTAACTAATAGCCTGTGTCCAGGAAGAATGGGTAGAACCTTGGGCCTGAATGACATGGCCTATGGTGAGGTTTGTGGCACAGTTGCTCAAGGCAGTTTCTTCCTAGGCAGCGGTGAATTGGATATTAAGGGGGATTATTGCCGTTAACCACCTTATTCATGGTATATCTCAGCTCATTATTATGCAGCTTCCTTTTTTTAACTAAACATACTGAACAAGCTTGATGTTGTGAATTCTCAGTGTGGAAGTCCGAGCAGGTATCGGGTGAATTCAGTTCACCGCTGGCTGTGAGGAGCCATCATGTTGCTCAGGACCAAGCGGCATCTCAAGGCACAATGCATGGGCACCAACCACAGCACCCCTTATTCACAGACATTTATGTCTAACATTTGCCAACTCCTCACTGTTCTCTGATACACTTGCAGAATGCAGAGAAAACACAGACCTGTATCGCAGGGCACACCAGTTATAGAGCATTGAAAGACTTCTGCAAGGACGTGTCAGTGCAGTCATATAACCAGGCAGCTTGCCTGGCAGCACGCCTGGCAGCACAGCACTCTTCAGTCGGGAATTAGAGGTCAGTCATGTTGCTGTACAGCAGTGTGCTACATCAGTCTCACACTGCACCATGTGTGCCAGCAGCTGGATAAATACATACAAACAAACACATGGTGTGCGCAGTAAGCAGGCAGCCTTGTCTCCAAAGCATTGGGAAGTAGTGCTCACTGAGGTCCGTGCAGGCACCCATCAGTCAGTTCCCAGCACAGGAAGTCAAGGATAGCTTCCCGTACCAGTCCACAGCCGGATGTCTGGTTGAGGTGATCTCTGTCTGTGTCCTTTCTTTCTGGGGAGTGAATCATGGTTAAGTTGTGACTGTGGTTCCATATTGGCCAGTCCATTGTTGGGTGTAGGGCTGCTATAGTCAGGAAGATGTACAGACATCAGCCCAGTGTCTAGCCTGTTCTCATCCGGGGCTGTCGTGTTAGGCTGGACATGTGGGCCACAGTCACTCTACTGGGTCTGTCAAGTTAAAGAAGGAAGAAGGGGTTTGGGCAGATCAAAGGGAGCCACTGTCACACAAAGGAGACTCTGGAACCTGTTCCTGTGGAATAGGGTGTGATAATTGTGAGGTGGAGGCAACTGTATTTGTGAGGTGTGGGGGGAGATATGGTAAAGCATAGATAAGGCAGGACGGGAGGACAGCTTTCATCCATGGTCAGAAGCGTCCTGATATCAAGTGGGGGCTGATGGTGATGGGGTGTAAATTGTTTGATAATTTCTTGGATGGTCACTTCATGTGCCTGGGGCTGATGGAAGGGGCTGCTGAGAGGGAGAAAGGTCAGCAGCTAAAGGCTGATGTGGGCTAGTTGGAGGGGACCTGGGGAGGTGTGAAGCCCATCAGGTTGATAGGAAGGACTATCAGGATGTGGCCTGCAGCATGTGGAAGCAAGAGAAACAAGGTGTAGACAAGGTTATGGGTTCTGTTGACACCATTGCCCCTCTTGGTCAGACATCCCTATTTTTTCCCTGGCCCCCTTTCCCAACAGCCGTAGCTATATAGAGCTCTGGGGTCGGTGTCTTGTACACTGCACAGCTTTGTGTGCAATGTTCTTGCATTCCAAAGGGCTTCACATCAGTGGGCCTTTCAGCCTCCTCCCTCACAGGTTGAGACACTTCCAATCAGCGTTTGGTTGCAGCTTGGTTCCTGAAACAACCAGATGTCATGCAAAACCAATCAAATTTATACAAACGTGCTACTTTATATAGAGTGCCTTGTCTCCCATGCGAATAGTGCCCTCAAAACATTTATTCTTTCTTTCATGCCGAATACATCTTTGTGTCATCACAGGTTCTGCAGCTGGGGTGGAGGAAACCAGCTTGGCACTGGTGCCCTTTGCCACTGGAGATTTCATTGGGCCACCCCAGGGGCATTTGTCCATGGACAGCCCTGACATGCTGAGGGGTTTCCTACCAGAGGCAAGTGGACCCTCCTTGGTTTGAAGTTCCAAGAGTCAGAGCGGGGTGAGGGGGGTGGGGCATGGGTGTTGGGGGTTGTGTAAGGCAGAGTACAGGAAGAGGGCTGAGTCATCTCTGGAGTGTCCTATTCCAAAAATAGATTGTGCAGACAGGAGCTTTCTGAGGGCCATGTGTGTATGCATGGGTATGTGTGTGCATATATGTCTGTGTGCGCTCGCACATAAGTGTGTGTGCATGTGTGCATATACTTGTGTGTGCGTGCGCGTGTGTGTGTGTGTGTGTGTGAGAGAGAGTGTGTGTGAGAGTGTGTGTGTGAGTGTGTGTGTGTGAGACTGTGTGTGTGTGTGTGTGTGTGTGTGAGAGAGAGTGTGTGTGTGTGAGAGAGAGAGTGTGTGTGTGTGTGTGTGAGAGAGAGAGAGTGTGTGTGTGAGAGAGAGAGTGAGTGTGTGTGTGAGAGAGAGAGTGTGTGTGTGTGTGTGAGAGAGAGTGTGTTTGTGTGTGTGTGTGTGTGTGTGTGTGTGAGAGAGAGAGAGAGAGTGTGTTTGTGTGTGTGTGTGTGTGTGTGTGTGTGTGGACAATGTCTGATTGCCAACAGCAGAGTCCTGTCCTGCCTGGGGCTGAGTAAGTACCTGATCTCCAACCACCAGCAACCTGGGCTGTTGCTTCCTCAGCCAGCTGTGGAACTATTGCAGTGTGGTGCTGACCAGATGGTGCTCCCAACCTTTCTAAGCCTGATGCTCCCATCAAGGAGTCAGTGTCTGAGCTGGTGGGGGTTGCAGGGGCCAGCTTTGCTGATGCTTCCTTTGACACCTCAGTACCCTCTCTTTCTTCAGAAGTGGTGATGGTGGATGTCTCTCCACAGAGAGGATGGACATCCCACTACTGCCTACAAAACAAACGGTATTGAACATGATGTGAATCAGTAGCACTGACAGCAGTGTTAATATGAGAGTTACAGTGGAACAAAGTGGGGGACTTACTCAGTTGCCAGGATACGGATGTCCCAGCATCCTCCCAGGGTCCTGGTCTTCTCATATGAAGGGGAGGATTCTTTCCTCATGGTAGCTGAGGAGCCTGATTTTGCTCACCTCTCCACCCCGGTCTGTGCCCATGCTGGCCTGTTATTAAATCATAGAACCTGTTGTGGCCTATCTTCTCCTGGAGCAAGATAAAGGGAGGGATTATGAGCTGAAAATGGTTGGCACAGCCATTTGTGCTGGTGCAAATGGTCGAAGGGAGATGAGGTGAGTGAGTAAGCAGCACCAAGGCTATGCGGGGTTTGTGATGTGGGTGTCTGAAGGGAGTAAGACCACAGGAGGGAAGATGTTGCAGAGTGAGAGTGGCAGAGCATGAGCCTTGGCGGAAAGTGTGTCCGGTAACAGAGATAGAGTGAGTATGAAGTCACAAGGAGAAGAGTGTGACATTTACCGTGGCAGAGCAGAGAAGGTGCTGCACTGCTGGCCATTCCTCCATTGGCCCAAGTGGTAACCTTGGAGCACGCTGCCAGTATCTGGTGGCGTGGCCACCTCTGGCAGTCCTCTGGAAAGAGGACAGCCCTTTGTGCCAACCACTCTACCACCTAGGCCTCCAGGTCGCTGTTGGTAAATCATGGCACCATCTTCCCCGCCCCCAATATTCTTTGACTGAATGTGTGGCACTGGGCCAAGCAGCTTCAGAATGCCAGTGCTCATCTGAGTGCACAGGAGCTTTTTGAAGATGGTATGGGTGCCAGGGATGTTGGTCTTTCAGCGGATATCTGCTAAGTGACGAGTTCTTCCTGGAACGGTGCGTGGTGAAATGGGGCCAGAATCAGACAAGTAGGATGCCATAGGATTGTGGTCGGTAGTTAATGAGGTCCAACAGTGAGAGATCTCACTAGGCCTCATGGTGAGAACTCCAAAAAAAAACCAAAGTAACTGGCACTTGGCCAAATAAATAAATTCAACCCATTGAGTGAGCCCAAGTAGATCTTCATGAAATGTTAGCCACTACATCTTTTCAGTATGAGAAACTTTCTTTTATGCACTTTATTTTCTGCCCTTCAACCATCCCTTTGTGCATTTGACCTTATTTTCCCTGAAATATACCCTCCACATTTTCTTTACATCTCTGTGAATTATTTAAAGAATTCAATGCATATTAGAAATCTACTGGCTGGCCCAGATAACCTGTTTCTTCATGTCATTATAGAATCCCGACAGTGTGGAAGCAGGCCATTCGGCCCATTGAACTCACAGTGACCCTGTGAAGAGCATCCCACCTCCCTTCCCTGGCATTTCCCTTGGTTACTCCACCTAGCCTGCACACCCTGGACACTCTGGGCAATTTAGCATGGCCAATCCACCTAACCTGCACATCTTTGGACTGCGGGAGGAAACCGGAGCACCCAGAGGAAATCCATGTAGACATGGGGAGAATGTGCAAACTCCACCTTCAGAACTTTCAGCTTTTCCAGCACCTTTTTAGTGATGGTGACTACACTCACCTCTGACCCCTGACTCTCTTGAAGTTCTGGTGTGGTACTGATGTCTTCTACTGTGAAAACTGATGCGAAGTACCGATTCAGTTCCTCTGACATTTCTTTGTTCCTCATTTCTATTTCTCTGGCTTCATTTGCCAGTGGTTCAATGTCCATTCTTGCCTGTCACTTACCATTTAGATATCTAAAAACATTCTTCATTTATATTACTAGCTAGCTTACTCTCCTATTTCATCTTTTCTTCTCTTATTTTTTTTGGTATTCCTCAGCTGGTGTTTAAAGGCTTCCCATTTCTCTGGCTTCCCACTAATCTTCACCACATTTCATGCTTTTTCTCCTGGTTTTATGCTGTCTGTGACTTCCGTTGTCAGCCACGGTTGCTCTGTCCTCCTCTTAGCATGTTTCTTCTTCTTTGAGATAAATTTCTGCTGTGCCTCCCAATTAATCCCAGAAACTCCTGCCATTACTACTCCACTGTTTTCCTTGCTAGGCTCCCCTTCCAATCAACTCTGGCCAATTCCTCCCTCATGTCTTTGTCGTTGCCTTTACTCAACTGTAATACCATTCTCCCTCTCCCTCTTATACTGGGGTGAATTCTATGATATTAACCTGACAAGCACTAAACACAATATTATTAAGTGGGTCAGCAATGGTGTAGTGGAGAAGGCTCTTGCCTCTGAGTCTTGAGATTCTAAGTTCAAAGGACTTGATTTCAAGTCCTAACAGTCCAGGTTCTCAGCATGTACCGTACAGTCAGAGATATGTCTTTTGGATACGATATTAAACCAAGGCCCTGCCTGCCTGTTTGGGGCAGGTGTAAAATATCTCATGGCACTGTTTTGGAGAAGAACAGGAGATTTATTCCTGTTGTGCAGCCCAATATTAATCCATCAATCAATCTTACAAAAACAGAATGTCTTGTCTTGTGGGAGCTTGGTGGGCACAGGTTGGCTGCCATGTTCCTTACATTATACCAGTGCCTACGTTTCAAAAATATTTCTTTGGCATAAGATGTTTTGAGAGATTTGGCGGTCATGGAAGTCACTGCATAAATGCAAGGATTTGTATTGACTGAAAGTGTGCAAAATATCATTTGTTATTGTTGTATTTTTCATAGACTTATTTTTAACCACTAATGCTTCTGAGTACTCTTCTGATAGCATAACCTGGTGAGGCCAGAAAAGTATTGGTGTGGAAATTGGAACTATTGAGCTGACTGTCCTGGGCTAAAGTTAAGGTTGAAGTGCAAAGCATGAAAACTGTTCAACACAAAGTGCTGACATATTTTGGGTTGGACTTGCTGGAATGTTGCAAGGCAATGAGTTGGAGGAAAGCTGCAAGCTCTTTAACTTTTCATTCTTGCTTTTATGGGCCAAGTAAGAGTTAAGGGATGCTTAAACTGAAATGCGAAGTTTGTAACAATATTAAAGGTAGAAGATGAATAACTCAAGTAATTGCAAGTTTAATGAAGCATGCATTTTAAAAATAATTTATTTATTTGGTGACAGAATATATACACTTCATCAGTTGGTCAGTGTTGAAAAGCGCCTTGATCGCATACATGGAAGTCGATATCTCCTGGAACTTGCACTGTTGGTGAATAAAAAAATGATTGTGCGATTATCAGAGTACATTTATGGCCTCAACAGAAATAGTTACTATATGGATGGTGATGATGATCGCAAGATGAGAGCTATTTTTAGACACAGAGGTCGGCAACTTAGAGAAAAGCAAGAAAAGATTATGCTGTGTGCACCAACCGGATTTAAATGGCACCGCAATGCTGTGGTACACTTTATAGTTCCAGGTAAAGATGCATGTTAATGTCTGCAAATGGGAATGGGATATCAGTTGTAACAGAGATCTGATAACTTTAAGAAATCAAAATGAGGACAATGGCAATTAGCAACAGATATCGTGAAGCAATAGTTTAGCTAAGTATTAACAAGGGCCTCCCTTTGTTTTAAATAGAGCGATATTATACCTACTAACGACTTGATATTGAAAATAATTTGACTTCAAAACTAACATGACTACTGCTTTCCATGCTCACACTGTTATGTTTCACAATATACTGAGCGAATCTCTTCAGATTTTTCTTTCCAGGGGCCCAGTAGAAATGTACCTCATTTTTAAATTATGTCAGTTATATTGGTGCAGTTGAAACTATTTATTAACTAAATAGCCATTAACCAAACTGACTGATCCTCCCATCATGCCACATACCAGCTAGCTGTTGAATTTATCTTGGTCATAGAGTACAAATTTGACCTTCTCCCCAGTCAATGCCACAGATCATTAATTTGTCTCAATGTGACTGTTTCTCAAATTAAATGTATTTGAGTCTAATATTGGAACTCTAGTCACATTGCATTTGTTGTTCTATACCTTTACTTGTTCCCCTCCCACCCCACAAATTGCTATTTTTACATGAATAACCATAATGTAATTGGCAGTGTCTTCCACTTGGACAAAAGTTTGGACAAAACAAGAATTGTTTTGAATTATTGCACAAAACAAGAATTGGAAACCCATCTAGTTGCGAAACATTATAAATTTTATCTTTCTTGGCTTAAACTTGAGGATATGGAGTTTTGCAGAACTATTTTCAATCTCTCAACTGGACAATAATTAATAAAACTCTTGAAGAGTGGAATTTTCTTGCCTGAGATGAAGATTAGCCCTTGGCAGCGAGTAGGTAAAAAGGCTAGGCAACAAAACACACTGATAAATAAGTTTGCAAATATTCCACCTGAAGTATTTATTTTTTTGTTGGCATCACAGTAATTCAGTTTCAGATTTGGTTTCAGTACATTTTTTTAAGAATGATAATGTATGTTTGACATCAAAAAGTTCAAGTGTTTAACAGTTGTAGAGATCCGTAAGGGAACATTATGGCCTATGAGTGAGAAGGGACATTGTGGCTTTTAAAGTGTATGCTTGCAGTTATTGAGCTGAATGATGTTTCCCAGTAAATTTACTGTGTGGAATAATTTGTCTATTCATCCTGCAGTCAAAAATCAAGCCCGGTGGGTGCAGCAATTTATCTTTGATATGGAAGAATTGTACAGAGCTACTGGAGATGAGTACTTCAATGTCATCATTACCGATTACAGTAGCACAGATATGGATGTTGAAAAGGCCTTGAAACAAAGCATGCTGACCAGGTAGCTGTAACTTTCTGTCATTGGTCTTTTCCCTCAAGAACCTGCCAACAAAAAAATCAAAGCTCTTTGCATTGAAGTTAGATTATAAACCCGAGCCCAACAGGTAGCATATTCTCTATGTGACAATGGCAATAAGGAATTAATAAATATTTTTATTTAGCTGATATGGAAACAGAGATTTAATCTACAGTCTCTTCTGCAAACACAAGGAGGAACTTTGATTTGATTTAACACTATTATGTAACAATTCTATACAGGTTATTGTGCCACTTTTACAGGTCACTGTTCATGTCTCAGACCTTTCATAGCTTCTAACTATTTATATCTGTTCCCCCTGGGCTATAGCATTTGGTCAATTTTAACGTGACAATTAAAATGTGACAATTTAAAATTTTTATGTTTCCCATACATTGTAATCTCTGAAAATTTCCGCTAGTGGAAAACACAGTGAGATAGTGGACAGAAAGCAATATTGTCTTTTTATCTTTGGGGTTCAGGTTTGATGCAGCTAATGCTGATATGGTGGACCTCTTCCTTCTCTATCTTAGCTTTAAGGTCCTAAACAAACTGAATCTTAATGATGTTGAGCTGCTTCTTGATGCAATTATATGATTTTGGCACAAGTCGGTGTTATTCCCGCAAGTATAGCTGGCATCACAAGTAGGAAAAAAAACACTTTTGTTTCACCAAAGGGGACTTCTTACAAATTAAGGTTAAGACACATTGTTAGAGCTTTGCTTCTCAATTGCTAGGGTTAAGGTGTGCTTGATTTTGATGTCATGTATGAAAAGCTGAGCAAGTGCATAGTCCAGCACTGCTTTTGCTTATCTCAAAACTGCAACCAAGTTCTCCTTATCTACGTGATTCAATAAGGACAGTTTTTTTTTCTTAATGGAACAAGCATGTAGTTAAGAGCGAGCTAAATGTACACACTTCTTGAATTGAGTTCTTGCTTTGTGAACAGGTATCAATATGTGAAACTTGAGGGGAATTTTGAGCGCTCAGCTGGTCTGCAGGCTGGAATTGATGTTATAAAGGTATGAAAGAATAAATTGTTAAAACTTATCACAGTTTTTTAAGTGTTATTATTTAAGTCTGCCCAATAACAGGTAAGTATATGCTTGAACTGAATGTTTATTCCAGCGCAATAAGCTACTTGCTATTCTGAATTCCCTAAATAGAGCAAAATGCTGAAGTAAACGATGAAATGTTCAGTAAATATTCCCAATAATGACATGTTAGGCCGTATTCCTCCAATGTCAAAATGTTGGCAACAATAGAAAGATGCTTTAGAGCCTGTTTCTTTCAAAATTATTTTTCACTTTATCTTTTCAAATGCTGTTCTTCATGTTTTCTCACCTGCAGCCTCTCCATGTCTGTCTCATTACAACTTTGCGTTGAATCATTGAACAAATGATGACATGGAATGTGGCAAAGTTCAATGATTATTTACATTTCCTATAAAATATGATATAAGCAATATATTTCCTGCAAGCTATGAATTTATCCGGGCTGTCTTGTGATAATATATACCTATATGTTTTCAGGAATTATTTTCAGGATGACTGGATCACAAAGCAGGCTCTGTATGAATTTATCTTCATGGAGCTGGCAGTTAAATAAGTTTTTGCTTTGTTAGCTGCTGAATTAGATTGATTACCTAAAGTGACCTTCTATGAAAGAGCTATGAGAAAACATTGGTTTCAAAATATCAATAAGGTGCTGTTTTTCTCCAGAGCTAAAGGATTTTGCTTCCGTAAGGTTAGGTGTGTTCACCCTGAAGTAATTTTGTCAGTGTAATCCATTGCAGTTGATGCTCTGTGATATTGCATACAGATGTCAATAATAGTCATAACAGTCTTCATATTTGTCATACCATTGTTCCAGAGAAAGCCCATTTTAAAACAAAGCACACCAGAACCCTGTTACTGTGGGATTTGGAAGATCCATAATAGGAATGAAAAATTCATAGCAGACAATTACAAGGATGTGGAGCTGACCAGAAAGACAGATGCGCAATAAAGATGGGGAAGAGAAAGATCCACAACAGTATTAGTGGTCAGGTTCCATTAAGTGGAAAAGGTCGACTGGACCTGGTCTGACGAAGACAGCAGAGCCAAAGAAGGACAGAACTTGGGTCTAGGCTAACAAAGACAGGTGACTACCTTGGGCTGGGTCCTGAGCTGACACAGACATGAGACCGTATGAGACCAGGGCCTGGTCCTGGTAATACAGTAGGACAAAATGACAAGCAGCTGAAAATTACAGCAGAGCAAAGATGGACTGCAGCCAGGGCTGACAGAAATAGGCATGTGACAAGAAACACAACACAGATAATCTGGAAGCCAATTTAATGTTCAAAGGCAAGCTTATTTGTTAAATGGTAAAACTTACTTTCCATTAGAGTCTTTGTGAAGCAAAGGATGCAAACCTGTACAGGATAATGTAAATAGTAGGGAATGGTACGAGTGCCACAGCACCAACATTTGCAAGATCTACAACTACGTTGTGACCAGGTTTGGAGATAAGCCAATCAGTTTAAAATTTTAACAGTATAAATGATCTTCAAATGGCATCATCAAGCACACATCCACAGTTGTGGTGTTGAATAGTGATTTGATGCAGTGCAGCCATTTGGACTAAAATAGAACAGAATATCCTTTATTGTCACTTGTACTCCAGTACAGAAGTACAAGAGTACGATGAAAAGTTTTTACAATGGCTGCCTTTTAATAGCATCATCTTAGGTATAAGTACCTAAGTGTAAATCTTACAGGGTAGCAAAAAGTGTTTTTATACAAAAGAGGATTAAAAGGAAAGCATAAGCATTACTTACCGTGTCTGAAAATGAGCTAGGAATGAGGTAGATAGAACATTGTGAAAAGGATTCACATTACAGTCCAGTAAAGAATTCCAAACAGCAGCAGCTCAGCAAGTGGTGCCAGGCCCAAGCCCAACAGCTGGAGTCTAGTACTCTAGCCAGTGCTTACTCTATCTCTCTTTCTCTCTCTCACACTGACTCTCTCAGTCTCCCTCTCTCACTTTCTGAATCATATATGACTGAACATGTGGCAGATAGGATGTTTATTCGCTCAGCAGTACTATTTAAAGGGATCATCAACTACTTTCAGGTTGTCTGGCTGTCTCTAGGATTGGACATGTGTTTCGTGCTTTTTGAAAACCTTTAAAATTGCTAAAATCTGCAGGAAGGGTGTTGAAGAACTTTTGTCCAGACTTCAAGACTTCTGCTCAATCTGGTTTCTCCCAGACATGGTTGCAGAAATAATATTCCCCTAGGAATCCAGTATGACTGAAGGAGTAAACAAAGGACACTTGAAGCAGGACAAACAGCAACAGATGGGAAGGAAGAAGAACTCTCAACGGGAAGTCATAGTGGCTCAGGGTGGTCATAAAACTGGTTTCCTACCTGAATCTACATTGGATAGGCTACACTTCAGTACAGAGGTCCTCTCTGGAATCTGCTGCCTGCAGCTAGAATTGCAACCTCAGTGCCAGTTGAGGACTGTATTGCCAGGAGCTGTGAAGATGCCTTTTGCCATGAACATTTTTCTTTGGGCTCCTTCCAGCCTAGGGCTGGACATATTAACAACATCTCCCCACTTTCAATCCCCTGTTGCATTAAGGAGATCATGCTACTTTCTATTCAAAAGTTACCTTTCATTGTCACTTGCCAGTGGGTAGCACCGGAGTAAATGGCATGGCTATATGAAGATTGCACACTTCACCATTCTTCAGCTACTGTTGACTGTACGTATCCTGCTTTGTGGATGCCACAAGGCAGTCCTGAGATGTAACACAACTGTAAAAGACTCTTTAGGAAGAGTCATATCAGACTTGAAACGTTAGCATTGTTTATCTCTCTACAGATGCTGCCAGACTTTCCGACTTTCTCCAGTATTTTCTCTTTTTATTTCTGATTTACAGTATCCACAGTATTTTGCTTTTGCAAAGAGGTGTTAAGTGCTTAAAACTTCTGTTATTAATACTTTAAAGATCTTATTCTTTGATACATTTGTAAGTTTGAAGCAACAATGGTTTTGTAAGGAAAATAGTGACTGGATTTTTTTTTTTAAACCACTGCTCACACATTAATATTACTAAATGGGTCTCTAGTTTGTTAAAGTCTGTAACCGGATAAATAAACATGCAGGCTTCATGAGTTGGCATAGAGGCACCATTGGAGGTGGGTAAGGGAGGAGCATGAGTTGGCATGAAAGTATTTTGGGTTATTGGTGTGGTTGGGGACACATATTTAAACGGATGGGGCATAGTTAAGATATTTTGGCCTAAGCTTTCAAACAGTTCTTGAAGATGATGATATTGTGGTAATCTCAGTGGATTTAATACCCAAAGGCTTAGTCTAATGCTTTACGTATGCAGGCTCAAATCCAATCACAGGAACTGGGGAAATTTAAATGCAATTAATACATTGGGAATTATAAGCTTGTCTCTTTACAGTAACCTTGAAATCATTATCTATTGTCATGATAACTTTCATTAACTAACATCTTTTAGGAAAGAAAATATACCAGTCTCAGTTGGTGTGTCGTAAATGTGACTCCAGACTCACAGCAATGTAATTGACTCTGAAAGTGGCCTCACAATTCAAGTGTAATTAGACATGGATAGCAAATGTTGTCTTGCCAGCAACATTCCATGAAAGAATGAATTTCCATGTTGAAACCTTTGCTGTTTCTTGATATTTTCCTTATTGTTACTTTCAGGATGATCACAGCATTGTTTTCCTGTGTGATCTGCACATTAGCTTCCCTCCAGGCATAATAGACAGCATCAGAAAACATTGTGTGGAGGGAAAGATGGCATTTGCTCCAATAGTAATGAGGCTGAATTGTGGCTCCTCCCCACAGGAACCTGATGGTAAGTGACAACAATAACTACCTAAAGTAGTTTTGAAATGAATCTAGGATTTTGCTAGTTATTTTGGGATATTCTATTATCACTGATCTCTTAAGTATGCTAATTCTAAGAACAAAAATGCATATTGATATTGGATAAAAAACTAGAGGAATCCTCTGTATAAAATTTTGTGACTTGGGGGTGCCGGTATTGGACTGGGGTGGACAAGTGACGAAGGGGCTATGCTCCAAAAGCTTGTGTTTTCAAAAAATCTGTTGGACTATAACCTGGTGTTGTGTAATTTGTAAAATTCTACAGTTCTACGTTCAACTGTTGAAATTTGGCTGTCATGCTTTTCTCAAGAGTTGTGTGAGAGCTGGGATATTTTTTAATATTTTTAAAAGAATGGAATGTGGGCAAGGCTGGCATTTAGGACTATCCCTTGTTGATACATGTTTATTACATGCTGCAAGCACAGAAATTAACACATCTTAGGTCAGATAAACATTCTCTGTGTAAAGCTATAAAAGAGAGCTGTTTTAGTGGGAAGAAGATAAATTACAAGGAAGGAAAATTGCTATAAACACACACAGTAAATACCAGATATCAGCTTCAAAACAACAAAACTCGCAGAGTGATGATATGGAACATCCTTCGTTAAATTCCATATAAAGTTGAAGAGCACTAAAGTCTTGGAGCTTTGTACAAACAACATACATCTGTAATTATCCGTGAAAAATTAAATAAAGACAAAGATTGCTATTTGAATTTTGGTTTTACTTAAACTGGAAGTAGTGAAATATTGTATTGTGCAGGAACATTTGAAACTGTCCTAAGAGACTTGTAATTAACAAGTGTGGAATAAATACATAAAACCAGAAACATTTGTTTCTATAATTGTATAACTGATTTTATGCAGAAAGAAACTTGTGTAACATGGGAAGCCGTGGAATTTTTATAACATGGGAGAGAAGACTGCAGAGCAAAATGACTGAGAAGCCCCAATATAACAAATCATGAATCCATGTTTGGTCTGAAAGTATATAATTTGTTAATTCCTAATTTTCTCACTGTGTGTAACTGCTCAAGAAGTGGCAAATTTGCTGAAAAAGGCAAACATTGTTGAAATAAAGTACATTTAATTCACTTTTGTAATCTCTAGGATATTGGGAAATTAATGGATTTGGCTTGCTTGGAATCTACAAATCAGATCTTGATGGGATTGGTGGGATGAATACAAAAGAATTCCGTGACCGTTGGGGAGGAGAAGACTGGGAACTCCTAGATAGGTAACAAGTTTGAAGTCACATAAAAATTAGTATGGAATGCATGTAAGGATGGCAACAAAAAGCCATGGATTTAACTTATATTTCATCTTTCGTTTTATTTTCAATTCAATTAAAATTGTTTATTTTAAATCTGAGATTAATAGATTTCTGTTAACCAAATATATTAAGGAGTATGGGACAAAGGCCAGGATAGGATTTGGAACACAAATTGGCCATGATCTCATTGGATGGTGGACAGGTTTGAGGGCTCAATGACCTGTGCCTATTCCTATGAAAACTGAGCAAGCTAATGTCAGACTGGGTCATTGAATGTGGGAACTGTAGTAGGTCATTTTAATGATCCTCTGCCACAGTGTCCACAAACATATTTTCAGTAATGGACATTGGGTCGTAATCAGGAAAAGAATATCTAGTTGGGTTTTCCCTTTGGAAGCGGGGATGCACGTGTCAAATGATGCCAATTCAAACTGGTGACCCCAAACATCAGTGATAAAGCCTGGGAGCTGCCTAATCCGTATTACTGAACCTACTCAATAAATATTCAGAGGAAGCTAAAAGCTGTACCTTTTAGTATCATCAAAAAGAAATCTCTTGCAAATACCTAACCCTTTCTCTAATATCTATTTGAAATCAGAGAGAGGGGAAGAGAGAATGGGATTGGCTGGCATTTTATTTTCATGAATGTAAACTTATTTAATCAGTTTAAAAATGTTTGTTTTTTTACATTCTGCCCAGCTTTTATTATCATCTTCCTTCATCTGGGAAGAACCTCTTTAGTAATTTCTGCTGCTTCCCTGATTATTAACTGGGTGTGGGTTTGCTGTTATTGTTGTTTTGGTTATTTTTTTAAAGTTTATGTTTGGAAACACAATTTCAGCAATACAACAACTGCACTCAGTAAAATCAAAAAAATCAGCTTGTGTGATTTTTGAAAGCTTTAAGTGATGTTTATCCTTTATTATTCATAGGATTTTCCAGGCTGGGTTGGAAGTGGAAAGATTATACGTGAGAAACTTCTTTCATTTCTACCACTCCAAGCGTGGAATGTGGAATAGGAAGCAAGTAAAGGTGACGTAGTTACAGCGACCACAGGAAGTCTGGCTAGCATGCACTTTATCCAGTCAGGATCAAATTACCCCTGTCCAAAAACAAATGGAGTACAGTGCTGTCTTAGGCGCAATGTATCTGAAGACAATGGAATTGCTGCTGTGATAACTCAGGCTACTAATAGGCATAGGTTTTGTGATCTTCAACCCAGGAAAAATATTACAAAGAGCCTCTCTCTGTACTTAAGTTTGTAAGTGGTGAAAAAAAACTCAACAAAATATTTTATATTTTTTTATTCAAAGAAGTGCTATGATTCTGATATGTTTGGGTCTGAAATGAAGAGTTATGCAATGGAACAATAAGGCAAAAATATAGACTGACATTTTTCATTAGAGAGAATATGTAAAACTAAGACAATAGTTCTATTTTTGGGGTTGTGCTGTGCTAGTATCTTACCCACTGTATAACCCTGATATTCACAGGGTTACACAGATGCACAGTTTGGTTTTCACTCACCCGAAAACATTCATGGGTCTACCAAGTTGATGATTTTTATTGTCATAGATTAAAAACTTGCTAATACCTTGGAAGTTACGTCTTTCAATGGAATTAATTAAAATGTTATGCATATTTGTAACCATTTCAGTTTGGGAAGGGGAGTTTAATTGTCATACTTTAATGTTCAAATACTATGGGAAATACTTAAAAGAAACAAGGTCAAATTCATTCTGTTTAATTAGTTGTATTACCAGCTCAGTTGGCAAGGTCGAGCATGTGATTTTTCTTCATCTGTGTATATTTTCAGGATAACATTATTGCTACTATCTCCATTTTTAACACTTTGAAGAGTTTACACCCCTATATATTTAGTGAACCCAGTATATTTTTTTCTAATAGTAATAGGGCTACATTTATGCCTGAGAATTTCTAGGCATGGTTGTGCATGACAGCTAATTTACATAGCTGTGATTTAGTTTTGTTTTAGATGCAGGGTCATCTTTGAGTAAACTTACATAGACTACAATGAAGGGAATTACTTCAACTGTTCTTTTAACGTAGGGCCATGGAATTAAATGATTCAACATTGGAGTAATGGTTCACTTTTCATCAGATTTATTTCTGAGTTATAATACTAAAACTACTTCTGACAGGACAGTTTGCTAAGTTGGTTAAGTTGTACTTTGATGCAGACTGTGTGCACACAAAAATCTCCTTTAATTCTCCTCTTTAGAGATGCAGTTTTACACTTTAAATACAAATTAACTGTGCACCTATACTTTTACTTGAGTATGCAGAATACACAGGTATTTTTGCTGCCCTGTGTTTGTAACCAAGTACCTCAATCATGAGTCTTATATGAAAGCTCATCACAAAATTCATCAGAATTTATTTTTCTATGAAGGTAGATATGGGAAAATTAGGTACTTTTCAAACACACTTTGGGTACTTAAGCAAAAACAGTAAGTTCTGGAAACACTTAGCAGATCTGGCAGTCTCTGTGGAAAAAGAAATAGAATTAATATTTTGTGTCAGATATGTTCTGAAGGAAAGATGCATTCGACTTTGCTCTGTTTCTGTCTCTGCAGTACTGCCAGACATGGTGAGAATTTCCAGAACTTCCTGATTTTATTTCAGATTCCCAGCATCCATGTGGTTTGCTTTTACTTTGGGTACTTAAATAAGCAAGGAAACCAACACGAAACATTAGTGATATCAAGACACTTTTGATCAAGGTTCTTTCCAAGGGTGTAGACCTTTGTCTTACTGTAGAATTCGTTTATAACTGTACCTGTACAGTGTAGATGTTGGCTTTAGTGATGCTGGGATGAAGGGTTAATGATTTCTATGAAATTGCTAAGTTGTGTATAATCATGATTTTTGGAAATAAAAGTTTTGTTTTGAAACTGAGTGTGTTAGTTTTTATTTTCACCCTCTTTTCAAATACTGACTATGGATTGGTGGTTGCTTAGCTTATTAATTGCAGGAAGAAATTGATTTTGCCACTGTCTAGTGAAACCTTTCTGAAAGCATGAAATTAAAGCACATTGCTAATCACTGGGATCAGAGTAACTTTTAGTCATCTAACTCATGACTCCTTTAAATTATCTTCTGCCATTTACTGTAGCATTTTGCAACTATAGTGTTTTCTTTATATTGATGAGAACATTAATGAGTACCAAAGTGCTGGAACTGATTCCAACATGTTATGTATGGGCAGCCACTTCTCTTGGCTGCTCGGAATAATTGAAGGAAAAAGTTTGGGGTTAAACAAAATGACATTCCAGTAAAATGAATGCACCATCAGTTTCTGTCAAAGACACTTCGTTTATGACAGCACAGCATTTTCAGGACCCACTAGTTATGTATGGCTGTATTGAATGAAATCCTCACCACCCCCCACCCAGCCCCATCTGATGTGCAGGAAGGAATGAGCTGATATTCTGCAGAGCACAACTAGAGATAATCAGGAAATTATTAGTGCACAGTCAACAAGATGGAGAAAATAAATTGTAATTGCTAGCCCTGATTTCCTTTGTTAAATAATTACTATGCCTCTATACTGAAAGCCTAAATCATGAAGTGGCAGAATGGGAAACTTTCATGCAGGAAGATATGAAACTTTATGTTAAAGAAGCAGCAGAGTTTATGCATAAGTGCTAGTTTGTCTTTTATGGTAACTTTGGTGCTAGTGGACATGCCACAGGTTCAAATTCATGTCAGGACTGGAAGAAAAGCTGTGGGTGATGCTAGTATGGCTCAGTTTATGGCAGATTCCAAATTACCTGACAAGATAGTGGCATGCCTCTCTTTAAACCACTGAAGTCCTTTTGATGGTGCTATTCCTATCATTGTGTGCAATTATAAACTAGAGATGAGAATATGTTCAATTAAGAATGGTAAGGAATTTAAAGGAAAACCTGAGGTCATGGTGTTCCCAAAGATTACCATTTTGTTCTTCTTAGTGGTAGAACTCACAGAAAAGAGGAAGTAATGTTCAATTAACCTCAGTTAGTCACTAGAATGTATCAAGTAGAACATATACTGCAGCTACTGGTGCTGGCAGAGGTAAATACTGAGGGCTGTATACTGAGGAGCCCTATTCAATCAAACTGCCCCTTCCTGGATGCTATCAAGCTTCTTCAGTGCTGTTCCAACTGCAACCATCCAGGTGAATATTCAAATACATGTAGATGAAGGAAATGAGATCATCATGTGTCACTGTATATTCTGTCCTTGCTTTGTAGATGCAGTATGAATATGGATGGTCAGTCGTGGCCCTCCTGGTGTTTACCCAGCACAGTTCAGTATAGACCCGCCCAAGAGTATAGCCACCGGCTTCCCTATTGGTGCCTGTGGCCCATGAACCACATCACACTCTGCCACACTAGTCTTTGAGCCACACATTCGTTTCTCTAATTTTATGCCAAATTGCGTAAAGCCCAGGTATAAATCCAGACATTACAATCTTTGAGATTCTGCTGTCTAGTTCAATGTCTAGTTCCTCATACTTTCAATGCAGAAGCTGTTTCCTAGTACAACCTGTACTGTTGGTAATTACTATGATCACAACTCCTGGATCCCACCCCTCCCGCTGCAAGTTCCTTTCTAGCCCTGAACAGATGTTCCAAACCCCGACATTAAACAGGTTGCTGTTTGCTATTGACAATGTGTCAAGCTCCCGAACGACACAGTCTTTGACTATAACTTCCTTGTTGCTTCCCCCATCACCCACAACTTGTACCGTGGTGCTATGATCAGTTTGCACATCCATCCTATAGCCCCTGTTCTCATCCAATCTTGCTGAGAGAGAACCTCAAACCTCCTAGACAATTGTGGAAGCTGAGGCTCCTGTATGCCTGCTGTCCAGTTCTCTCTACCAGCCCCACTCACAGTCAATGTTCCGTCTAAACTTTGTGACCTGCAGTCACTTGGCGATTCCCCACAAAGTGGCATAGTGTGTCTGACTCATTGGCCTCCATTTGTGAAAGCTGCTGCCACTCGTGGATTTTGGAGGTCCGCACAGCAGAGTGAAAAGAATCAGGGGAAGCATAGTTCACAGCTGCAGCCTCCTGTCCCTGACCACTGAGCAAAATGGAAAACCCTTTCCTAAATGGTGTAACTGCATGCTCGTAGAAAGATACCAGGTAAATTTATCTCATACATGTAGTATAGCCTCCAACCCACAAACTCTGAGCTGAAGCTGCTCAAACTTCAAGCACTTACTGCAGACATGTTTGTTCTGGATTACAAACATACCCGGGGCACTCACATGCTGCAGACTTGACACACCATCTGTCCTGTTTTCATTAAGGAACTTTCGTTAATTATTCAATTATATTCAGTTACATTTGCTTTTCTATATTTTATTAACTTTACCACCATTTAGTATTAAAGTTAACCATTTACCAGAGACTCTCGATAATTGCATTTTCTGTGGTAGAGATGGTCCGCAAATCAAAGATTTTAGTTATCTGGGATTAGAAAATAATTTGGCAACAAATTGGTGGGAAAGAGATCAAGAATTGCTGAGAGAATAACAATGATTTTAGTGGATTAATTGAGTAGTGGGAAGGTACTCAAAAGATTTGAAACAGACCGGGGTTGCCAATTCTTCAACATGGGGAACAAACAAATACACACCACCACAAACTCTTTTTGACTCCAATCCATGTAAAATAATGGAACCAATTATCAGGAGTAAATCATGAGGATGACTATACATCAATAATCCAGTTAAAACATGGCAAAGTAATTATGAACCTTAACTTAAGAATGTAGCAAGTCTGTGGGACTGTGGAGAATCAATGAGGTAGTGTGTTTCAACTTATAAATGTTTTTGACAAAACTAAGCTTCAGAAATCAATAAGAAACTGCCAGAAAGAAATATGGTTATTAAGTGCGGCTCCTTTAGAGGAATTACGTCAGAGTAAGAGTAAATCCTTAATAGAATATCTCAAGCCTAGAGTCACTAATGTTTCTAATGTAAAAATTTGAAGTGGTCAAATTAAAGATTAAAAATGAGAGTGGGCAAAACAATGCATGTGGATTTTTATTTAGGCAAATGTTGTATGACCCAATCTGATGGCCATACTGGACAAGTCAGATCTTGGAGGGAAATTTGGTTTGATAGATCATAAGTTCTGTTTTTTTAGTTTGGTTACTGTGGTAGGCAGTCACTGAATATTCTTACATGAGGCGCCAATGTTCTTTTAACAAAAGAACAAAAGTTTATAAAGAAATTTTAAAAAACAAATAAAAAGACAGCTCAGAAAAATCTTAACACAAACAGCAAAGGCAAAGATAGAATGTTTTTCCCAACAGTATCTTTTACAGATACTCAAACCCAATGAAATATCATTCCTCTCTTTAGGATTTCCTACTGAATTGCACCTTTTCCAGTTTTGATGACCTAGAGACTTCTTTAAAGTGTTGACAACCTGGACTTCTTTGTGCTCACAATCTGCAGACTTTTACTAAATTAAGACAACATGGAGCTTTCTATCAGCTAAAAACTCCCAATCTAGCTGTCTCCAGAAAGGAACTTGTCATTTTGCCGATATGAAATTATTTCTCCAAACTAAAACCTGATTCTGGCTCTGACCACTTGTTTCTGTATAGGTCATAAAACTCATTATTGTAGACATTCCTCAGATTACCTCCCAGACTGTGGCATTTAATTTAATTCACATTGGAAATTGAATCTTCAGTTCACTTCTAAATTACTCTCTGACTTCATTCAAAAGGAGGGCCCCTATTCAACTGAAACTGAAATCTATTTCATCCCGACTTTAAAATCTATAAATCTCAAATGATAATATAAAACTTTATCACAGTGTAAAGTATGACACATAGGAAGCAAACTGTATAGTTTTTATTCTATTAAATGCTGTTTAAATTTCGAAGAATGATGCTAAAAGAGACTGAACTATCTTTATATATCTTAGTGTTAGACATGTCAAACTACTGCAGAACAGCAATGGAAATTCAATAGGACTACAATAAGCAAAATAATTAATTCAGAAGAGCGAGTATTCATAATGCCCTGGCCAGACTAGACTTGAAAATTGTCAACAGTTCTCATCACCGAGTAACAAGGTAGATATTACAGCTTTGAAGGAGTCTAAAATATAAAAGAGGAGGAAGTTGACTTTTCAACACAGAAAGCAGGTACTTGAAAAGTGGTTCTGCATAAACTTATGAAAGGCAAAACCAGAGTATTAGATGAAACTCAAACTCAAGATGGGGATACTTTTAGAATTCTTTGGGCAAAGGGTAATCAGCAGGTTAAGTAAATTTTTGTGTAGTGCAGTAGAAGCAGTAGCCCTGGAGTAATTGAAGAAATAATTACGTGTTAAAATGTCACGAGAAGGATCATGGTTTTTCTGATTGAAAAAATTGATGGCCAAGTTGACTTTATCGTCTGCAAGAATCCTTTGATTTTGTAAGTCGTGTTAAGCATTTAATCGACAGCCATCTAGTGGGCAAAAGCAGGATTGCAATCTTATCGAGGCATTCAATGTTGAATAAAGAGGGAAATGTTGCCCTGTTGAAAGAAAATGCTCTGAAGAGAGGAAGTATATGCTTTACAGAAGATTTTAAACAGGATTTTCAGTAGCGAGCTGGCCAATTGGGATATCAGTCATTCTTCAACTAAACTTTCCGTCTGATCCGACATTAACTAATCCCGAACACAGAGATTTATCTTCAAACATAGTATTTATGCAGTGTACCTTTCACTTACATTTCAATATGCCATTCTTCGAAAGATCAAGTCAGTATTTTAGCTTTAACTTTCCAACTTATTATTCCATTGCTTAATTCGAGTTACTAGGTAATTTGATTTATTTTAGCACCAGAACAAACTTTTAAATATTTAGAGTATCTTTGGTTTGACATCTTGACC